CTCTTGCACGTTTCTATGAAAAAAATCAAGACCTTATTATCATGCTCATTTCCATCCCTCCAGCACAAGTCAATCATGGGAACAATTAAACAGCTCTGGAATTAGAAATGACAATTAAAAAAGACACAGAGATAAGAATGGAGTGGCAGGAAGGGAAAATTAAATGGTTTCTTTCCCCCCACCCCTTTGCTCCCTGTATCATATTGTCGAAGGAATAATATAGTTCTGCCTTATTAGATATCAGTTTATAAAATTTACTCTGTGCTACCTAAAACCTACCCATATCCTCACACTTTCTCCTACTTCTCCCCAGTGGTCCTTTGTCCAGTGAGCCAATTCCACTTAAATTTATTGCTCCTTGATATGTAAATTAAGGATCCGACTGCATCACATTTAAATATGTGCTTCAAATACCACTTAATAGCAAGGGGATTCTGTGGGTTATCATGCTGTCTAGGCTGACGGGTCAGGATTTGACTTTCTGGCTGCATTTATCAGTCCCCAGTCTGTTTTCCTGGGTAGCAAGAGCAGTTAGGGTCTGCTTTTGGCCATCCCAGGCTGCTCATTTGGAAACTGGGAAAAGCAAGGCATGCTCTGTAACACTGGAGATGGTTTTTTTATACCTGAACTCCTAAAATCTTTACAGTCATGCTACAAGCACGTTTTCTGCTATATCTCCCTCATTTGGTTTCTTCTTCAGGCTAAATTAAATTCTTCCACCACAAAAATTTTCTTCTCATTTATGGTTTCAACTCACTCTCATCTGGAATGCTCCAGTTGTCCTAAATCTTTCCTGAAGAGCAGTGCCTGAAACTGGGCATAACATTTGGCTGGAGACTCTTCTGTGCTGGGCCCACTGACAGGAGTATTCCCACTTGCTATGTGCTAAACACTAGCCTGTATATCCCAGAATGGCGTTTGTCTTGCTCACCATACTGACACTGTTGATTTCTGCTGACCATGTTATCCACCATATTCCCCAGATATTTTCTAAATAATTTTCTACTGAGCCAGCTGTTGCTGGGCAGCTGATTGTTTCTGCACATATTGAAGTTCATCCAGCTGTTCTCAGAATTTTCCAATTTATCAAAAGCATTTTCAGTTCCAATCCTATCTCTAAGAATATCTGCATCCCCTCTCCATTTCATGTCATCTGCAAATTTAACAAGCATACTGTGTATTCCATCATCCATAGTATAAACAAAAATTCTTGGAAAATTAGATACAGATTCAGGATGAATCTGTGTATAATACTGCTTGGTACCTCTTCCATTTAGACCGGGAACCTTTATAACTACTCTTTCAATATAGTTTTACAGAGTTTTCTTTTGTTTTTATTTTGGACCCATGTTAGCCTACCTCCATCTAGATGATTTTCTTTTTTTGTTTTTGTTTTGCTTGCTCATAAGAATGCAAGACAATGCCAAAAGCCTAAGTAAAGTCAAAATATGCAACAGCTACTGCTTCTCCCCTGCACTAACAGTCTTAAACCATCATACTGGCTGTTATTCAGCTCCTTGTTTTTCATCCTGGTGCTTAGAACAAGTTTACTTTTTTCCAGGTTGTTTTTTCTTTTTGGAAGTTGAAGGTAAAGTTGCTGAGCTTTTATTCGTCTCCTTTCTCCCTTCCCCACTTCTTTTAAACACAGACCCTGTACTTGGGCTATTGCCATTGTTGGTGGCTCACCAGACCCCAGATGTCCTTCTTGAAAGTAACTGCTAACGTGTCTGAGACTGTTTCAGGCAGTTTTTCACATATGCTAGACAGATGTTCATCAGGTTCAGCCAAATTAGCAACACATTACCCTAAGCTGTCTAATCTGCTCATTCAGGGTATTAGGTTTTTTTACATTTATTTACCCTTCTCTCGCTGATGTTACCTGTACCAGCCTCCTGCTCACTTTTTCAGTGATGAGTGAAGGAAAAAGCTCACTTTGGCATTTTTGGCCTCCTCTGCCTGCTTCCCTATTGAGCGGGGTGGCCACGTTTCTTAGCTTTTACTATTAATGTTAATGCATTCAACTCATAGTCTCCTGTACTGTTTGAAATGAAGAGGCAGTGCTTCCATGTGTTTCTGTGGAGGGACTCCTTCTTCACTTCGTGACTGTTTCTTCACAAAGAAACATGTCCCACTGTTTCAGAACTGCTGGACATAGGTTGTCACTGTAACGGCACTGCTGGCTCTCTGGGTCAGAGCCTCCCCTTGCTACAAGCCCTCCATGTTCTCTATCAGGCAGGGTCAGCTTGCCAGGAAAAGCACTGATGTGCTGCTAATACAGTAGACATGCATGCTCGCTTTGCTGGGGAGGCAGGAGGGGCTAAGAGGAACCTGTTTTAACCACATTAGGTTGTCACCATCTTGAAGAGTTGAAGCAAGCTGTACTAGGGAGACAAAAATGACAGCCACTTGGAAATATTAGCTCATTGAATCTGGCCTTGCTTGTTACTAGCATTGAGAGCAAATGCCACCTGGGCATCCTGGCACACACTGACAATGCAAATGTACTCTTGCCTTTCTCATCAGCTTTCTCATGGGCTGCCATTAGGTTTGGGGAGTGGGATGTTGAGGTCAGGCTGTGTCCTGACCTTCTAGCATGGCCTCCTGCAGGCTCAAGTGTCTTTCATACGTTGTGTGGGTGTCTGCCAGGGTGTGCAGCTGTTTTAAGGTCTTGTCCAGCTCCCTGAGGTACGGAGAGCTGGCCTAAGCACCAACCTGCCCCTTGATTGCTGCCTGGTCCTTTGTCTCAGTGCAGCATTGAAAAGAGTTGCATTGTTTTCCTCCAAATTCCTGTCCCTTTGGAGACAGCTCACAAATCTCGTCTTCCTAATTCTCCTTCTGTGGTCTTCATTACCTCACCCCGCAGGGAAACAAGGTCCTGCAGGACCAGAGTATCTATGTACATAAGCCTAAATACTTCTAAATACACCAGAGTGCAACAGTGACTCATTTATTAGGTCACTTTGAGCCAGAGTACAATAATAACATGAGTTACAAAAAAGTTTTCATTTTTTGATGGTGATCTCACCCCCTACCCGCCCCCCGCCCCCAATTAATCAATGTCTCACCTTCCAGGAAAAATTAGGAAAATCAGCCTACCATTTTTCTCAAGTGTTAGGATCATCCTCGAAACATCCTGATGTTACCTGAGTTTACTGCATTATTTAATGCTGGGTGGGTAAATGGATGACAAAATCATTACCACCACAATTATCAGCTAGTTATCAGCTGCAATGTTTGTGGGCCTTCTGAGTCATGAGGGTGACACAGAATGCACTATGCCATCTTCATCCTAAAGGAGCTATGGTCTAAGGCTGAGACATATTAATGGTAGGTATGGGCATAATTTCTTGGTAAATATGCTCCAGGGATGTCATTGTCAGTGTTGTTCTGGTGATGTCAGATCCATGCTAATCCAGTGTGTCGATCCAAGCACCATGACAGTTTGGCAGAAAATGCTACTCTCATCCCATCAGAATTTTTTTCCTTTTTTTTTTTTTCTTTTTCCTTTCAAATAAGTAAACTTGATTTTGAACTAAAAGTACTTTTAATTTACAGTCACTCAAAACTGGCTCAACGCTTAAAAATGGGAACACGAGTAAATGCTGTGTATGGTTCTGTCATTCATGTTCAGGACAGAGGAACTCAAACACCTTTTGCACACTTGCGGCAGGGAGGGCCAGGCACATCCTGGGCTGCATTAGAAAGAGCATTGTCAGCAGGTCAAGGGAGGTGATCCTTCCTCTCTGCTCAGCACTGGTGAGACACTTCTGGAGTATTGGGTCCAGTTCTGGACTCCCAAGTACAAGAGAGACATGGACATACTGGAGTGAGTCCAGTGAAGGGCCATGAAAATGGTTAAGATCTTGGGGCATCTGATGTATGAGGACAGGCTGAGAGAGCTGGAGCTATTCAGCCCAGAATAGAAGAGAAGACCCCCTGAGTCTTCTCTTCAATGTGCTATTGATGTGTATTAATACCTGATAGGAGGAGCAAAGAGGATGGACCCAGGCTCTTCTCAGTGGTGTCCAGTGACAGGGCAGGAGGCAATGGGCACAAACGAAAGCGCAGGAAATTCAATTTAAACATGAGAAACAACTTTTTTCATGGTGAGGGTGGTCAAACATCAGAACAGGTTGCCCACAGAGGTTGTGGAGGCTCCCTCCTTGGGGATATTTAAAACCCAACTAGATATGGCCCTTAGCAACCTTCTGTAGCTGACCCTGCTCTGAGAGAGGGGGTTGCACTAGATAATCTCCAGAGGTGCCTTTTGATGTCAACCATTCTGTGACTCAGTGTAACTATAAAAGGAGCAAAGCATCGTTACTGAGATGACTAGAAGAATGGTGAGCCTACCTTACAAAAATATGTTTATACATAAACAACATACACTAGGCTTGGGAGAGAGGAAGAAGGCTGAGAGGAGCCATGATTTCTCTCTATAAATGACATCAAAGAATAGATGACAAGGGAAGAACTATTGAAAGTAAAGAACTGGCACAAGATTAGCAGGTGACAAAGAATTATCTGACAGTGAACAAAGTTAGTCTTAAAATTAGGAAGACTAAATTTGCAAAGCAACACACCAATAAGAATACTGCGAGTTTCTAAAAGGGATTATTTGACATACAGTGGAAAGGGACCAGCCTTAAGCCTAGTGTTAATGAATGAATGGGCAGAAAAGGCTGTTGTCTCAAGCAGCAGAACTCATGGGGAGACCTGGGGGAAAAAAGGCAGAGATTCTGTTACCAAGAAGTGCAGGCAGAGGCTGAGCTTCGCAGGAACCCACGGGTGTCTCTAGGTCACCTTATTGTATACTGCTATGGATAAGAAGGAAGGTAGCATATTTTTGTAGTCCATGTTTGTGTAAAATACTCTGCTCTAAAAGTGGAAGAGTTTTGTTCTGTGTTGAAAGTTTTTTGTCATTTAAAGTTTTCCCCTTTTAAAGCATATCTTGTCTTTCCTCTTTCTTTTGAGTGTGTGCTACAACAATCTGTTTCATTATGGAGAGAAATTGTCAAGTGAGGAGCCTGGCTCATCTCTTAGATAGTGTGGAAATGGCCTACAGAACAGATGTTAAACTTTACACCTCCGGACACTTAAATCATAACAAGATTTATAAGCCTTCAGAGAAAATAAAACAAGGACTATGGTACTCTGCCAGGAAACAAACTAGTTTCATGACAGAAGGAAATCAATTCCCAGCTGAAAATGAGAGAGCAAGGAAGATTAAAAGATTTTCAGGTAACTTCTGTTCCAGCATCCCTCTGCTTCCAGCCCAGGCTGAATCTACCTGCCCTAACAACAGACGTCCACAGTCATCTGTGACTGGTGTTGGTGCCTCAGCAGATTTTTCTACTCCACTGGAAATGTTAAAGTTGAAAGCGCTTAAAAAGAAAGTAGAGGAGGGACCTGACAGAATTTGTGTGTGTCTCAAAAGAGATGAGTTAGATGTGTCAGAGATTATGGTGTTGAAAAACAAACCACAGCTGACACTGTGTTGTGGACCCTGCCAACGAGGAATACCAGTTCGTACCTTCATACTTAGCTGGTGTAACTAAAACTGAACAGTTTAAGAAGTTCCTACATTTCCAGAAGGATTTCATAGCAAAGCATGAACTGTTACAGAATGATTTCACAGGGAGCAAAGTACCAGAGCAGCATGAAAGACAGCTGTCTAAGGTAAGAAAAACAGTCCCCAAGTTGATGGAAAGGTAAATTTTGCATTATCTTTCTGGGTGGTTTGGTTATGTGTGTTCCAGGAAAATGGAATGGGTTTAAGCAAAATCACCTCTCTCTTCTTGTCAGAGAGATGATCCCATGTGTTTGATTAGTTGTGCACTCATAAGACACATCTACTATGTGCTCCAAAACCTTGAGCCCAAAGCTGTACACCACTGTTTACCCTTCCTGCCATTGTCATGTGGAAATGTTGTGTTAAGTACACAGCAAGCTAGTGATCTGTATGGGAAAAATCACAGTTGATCAGCAGCTCTGTAGGAATGGTATATTCAGAATCTTGTCCAGCAGCACGTTTCAGATAATTTGTAAAAGAAGCTACCTTCTCTATGTGTGCTGTAGACTCTCTCTTTATGCACAGACAGTTGCTGCAGTCTGGCTGGCCTCTTGTGATGGGTGGGATGGGGAGTGAATTTGATGAGTCAAGCACATAAACCTTGCAGAAGTTGCTTGTGTTGCTTGAGTTGCTGCCCTGAGGAAAGCATTAACAGTCTCATCAGCACTTAGAGCCAAATGCAGAAGTGAGAGTAAGATTCTGGATTCATAGAAATTAGGGATGGAACTTAATGAAAGCAGTTGGGGGTAGGTAAACTAAGAAATGGCTAGGCTAGCGTGGGCTGGAGAAGAACTGGCATTTCATATAGATGAGAGTAATTTGGCACTTTGTCCCTCACTGTGGTACTTATGGCCATGTTTTCATCCTTTGTAAGATGCCAGCTGATTTATTAAGGGCATTTTACAGAGAATTAAGCAGTGGTATTTGCAGGACCCGGGGAGAGATGACTGCTGACAGAGGAAACAGAGGTCAGGCTTGACTGAAACAGCCATCCCAATAGTAGTGCTAAGTATACCAGAAACTGGGAAAGAAATGATCAAGCAAATAAGCAGAGGTCTTTCTTGTATACCTCCAACAAACTACCAAAGCTTTTCAAGAAAAGTTATGCAAAATGAGGGAAGCAAGGCAACAAATTCATCTACTTCTGGGTATAACTCTTGGAGAAGCAGCATAATCCATGCTCCACTGGATTCTAGGAGGTATCATTTGCCATGCAGTTAACCACCTTGCCAAAAAAGTTGGCTACTTCCCACTTTGGTAAATATCCCCAGCAACCTTTCTCCTATGACTCTGGGCTGAGAGGCCAGAGTAAAAGGAAGAAGGGGTGGGGGAAAACAGAAGAGGCAAAGTGCTGTATTATAGCAGGATAACAGCTTGATCTTGTAATTTTTAAAGCAGTTTTCCCCAGAAAACATTTTCCCCAGAAACAATCTGAATCAGTACAATTTTGGTGAGATAGTGTAACTCTGGTAAAGTTTAGCAGAAAGCTGTACTAACTAGCAGTGATGGTAATCTTTGCCCTTTGATTAAACGGTCAAAATTTCTATATCAGCCTTGGTTTGAAACAAGGGTATTCACAAAGTGAAAAACTGCCATGGTCTATTATCTGCCTGAGAGGCTTGCTGTGAAAAAGTTAATCTTAGGGATAGAACACTTTGAAGTGAGGCCAACAGCACTCTAGAGAAAAAGTTCCCATGTCAGAGAAAGTAGCACAGGTTGCCTAAGAGACCCTTCCTTTCTCTCTTCCAGGTTTATTACTCAGAGCTGCTACATATGACCATGAGATCATAAGTGTAAGATTTTAACTGTTGTATTCTTTAGCTAGGGTTTCTCAGGTTATTTATATATTAATTACGTCTCTCTGAGCTAACAGTTGCTTTAAGGGATGCAACATGTTCCAAGGGCTGCTTCTTCCAAACCTGGAGATGATCTGTTGAAGTCAGTAGAGATAGACAGACTAACTTATAATTATGGAAGGATTGGCTGTAAAGATGTAAACAAGATATTCAACACTAAGTTGAGGTGTAATGTAGTAATTGTCTTCTGCCACACAAATCTCTGTCTTCTTTGTTTTCTACTAGTCTTTTCAATGATTAGTACATCCTGTCTTGTTGAATATGAGCTTTCTTCTTACTGATGATCGAAATACAGAATTCATGCTATGACCAAGACTTGATCTGGATTCTCATATTTCTTACTGCATACTGTCAGGAGAAATGGCATGAACTTGAATAAAGTAATACATTCTGACAGTAACTATTTTAGAATACCTTCTGCACATGTGGGTATGTAGCTGTTCATTCTGATGATTGCACAGGAGCTCCAGAAAATCTGTGGCTGTGATCCCCTCCATTTCAAGCAGCTACAGGTTGTTGAGGAAGTATTTGAAAATATATGCAACAGCTCTCTGGTATTTGGTGATATTCTGACAGAAATTAAGGTAAGAAATATTCCTAAGCTTTAGCACAACATAAGTTAAATGTACCTTAACTATTGTTTTAAATGCATTATTTCCCAGGGCCCTTTGCCAATTTTTTTCTCAGTGCATCTGAGACATTTAACCCTTTTTAGCTACAGTGAGGAAAGTGATTATCCTGGGGATTTATATTCTTCAGGAGACTTTTCTCTGCCCCCTTGCTCACATGTTAAGATCAAACATACCTAACAAACTTCATGGGCTCATAGCATCATTTGTTTTTTTTATTTAATCACCTGTGGTCTCAAAGGCGATGGCTGGTTTCTTCCTCATTTTTGCTCCTTCTCCCACTGTACACAGGTAAGCAAACAAGAGCAGAGAATAGAAGTGTTGAGAGATATGCCTCTACAGAAAGTTGGTTTCCAGTCTGCTCAGTGATTTGAGCTGACACCATTTCCATCCATAAGCATCATCATGTTAATGGAGAAAGGAGAAATCACAAGAAATTGCACACCTCTGCAAATCATCTGCAGATGCAAAGGCCACAAGACTGGAGGAAATAGCACTGGGGAGAAAGGTGAATTGGAAATTGCTTACATTCAGTGGTTCAGGAGCAGGCTATGTTTTCAGTCACTGCTTTCATTCATTCAAATTAGGGCTGTGACTGTGTGTGTTTGTTAAGTGTTTCCCTCAATTTTTTTTTTATAGCTGACCAGCAAACTAAACCGCATGGCTCTAAAACCCATGTGATTTTGTCTTTAGTGCATTCCCAGTTCTGCTTCTGGCCCTACTGGTGAGACAACAAGCCCTTGCATGTGTCCCAGTGTTCCTACTGTGACTTTATGCCTTTTAATTAACCATATAGCAGCAAGCCATGACTTTTGCTTCCTGCAGTGTGCCCTAGGTTACAAGACAGCAGCATCACATGCAATACTTACATTTGCGCTTTTTCAAATGTCTCTGTATGGTCAGCAGAGAAGAGCAGACAGCTTTTGGGAAAGACATATGAGTTCTTTCCCAGGTTTCCCCTAATGTACTGTGTGAGTTACACAAACAGACGCCAAACATCTGGCTACCGCTTAGGCACTTTGATAAAAGCATTACTAAAAAAACCGCACAAACCAAACCCCCAGCCTTCACTAACTTTTTTTCTGAAACTCTAGCCCTAATTCTAAAATCATTAAAATGTTTGGGGGAAAAAAAAATAATCAGGCTGTAACCTACTGGTGAATTATTTTTCCACCTCTCACTTTGACAGTTACACGTGAGGAGTGATAATTCTTATCTGACCTATGAGGCAGTTTCCTGTTCTTTTTTTCCTTTTGATTTTTCACTATGCTGAAGGATGACGCTTGAAAACCTTTATTTGAGGACCAAATCTGTTTGTTTATTCTCTTGGGCACTCAGGACAGTGATTTGCATATGGAACACAACTAAAACATTATAGGCAAAAATGAAGTTGCACTCTGATTCTGTACACTGTGATGTGGTGCTAGTGATGTAGAAAATCTACATTGACTGGCTCAGTAATAACTGAGGGGGGAAAAAGCCAGTCCTTCATATTTGTTGACAAAATAATTACTCGCTAAAATCCAGCATTTATAGGCAAGAGAAGGGAAGAGGGGGCAGGCATTACAAGCAAGAAATCCTTGAGGAAGGGGAGCTAGTTGGGTAAGTGAACTGTGCTGAGAATGACATTGGCATAGTCAAAATCCAAATGGTCACCTCTGGGTTTTGAACAAACCCATGTGTGGTAGCGGAAGTAAACCTTCTGTCACAGCACAAAAGGTATGATTTTCCTGGAGCCAAACTGAAACAAGAATCTGTAATCTCTGGACAGTGTTAAACAATTTTGATGGTTGTTTTTCCTCTCAATTTATTTAGTGAGTATGAGCTGTACATGATGTTTCTGGACTCTCTGCCTATAACACAGTACAAGGTAGTATTTGCTTGTCAATATTAGCTCCTTTCCTTGGTGATGTTACAGATAAATTAAGTATTTGAAGTCAGATATTGGCACTTCCTGAACTTATCATTGACATAGGAAATCTAGTGCTCGTCCTTTGCTTCATTGCTTACAACAGTTTCTGTAGGAGCAACCCACAGTAGAGAAATCTGAGACAGCAACGGCTACAGAATAAGCAGAGCATTAGCTGAATAGCCTGTGCTGGATTTCCGAAGTATCAAACCTATTGTCCTTCTGTCTCCTCTTTGGTAGGGCCACATCAGGCTTTGTGCCAGCTTTACTGCAGAAGTGCTACTGTACAGAGGGTGGCATTGGCCTCAGGCTGCCAGGAGTAGTGCCACACACCCCTTCCACCGGCCTCTCCCACCAGTGACATCTTACTTCTGGCAAAAGGAAGAGGCACCAGGAAAGGTGTGCTCCACTATGGAAGTAGAAGGGGAGCACAGAGGAGATGTCAGGCCCTGACTGGCCCTGCCCAGCCCCCCTGGAGCCTCTTCCCACCCTGCCCATGGCACAAGACCCCATTTCAACCCAGCCTGCACCTGTCAGTCCTTGCCCCTTTCTCTATCTGACCCTTTTGTATTCTTCCCCTTTTTACCTTCCCTACTTCAAAACTAGCCCCTTCCGCTCCTGACAGCTTTTTAGGCCAGTGTTCTCCATTGATCCAGAGCCAATCCTTTGGATTTGCTCTGAGGATTTCACCCTAGTTATCCACTTTCTTTAGCATTGAGCCTGGGAGCTCCTGTGTGATATTGACAATCTGTTGAAATGAAGATGAAAGGTAATGATGAATGTGGCACAGTTGACAGCATAAATGCTTTGTCTAGGGTGTGTGTTACTACACACCGCTCAATGGTAAAACACCTGAAAGGATTGTCCAAAAGCAAGGGGTTTGCATGAGTCTGAGTCTTCATATTTACTGGCTGTGACACAGAGAGAATCATCCATATTCTTTTTTATCTGTAACAAACCTTTAATCTATTTACAAATGGAAAGAACTTCGAGTGACTAAAACCTGCCATAGGGTATTTTTTGTTCATGTCTGGCCATATTAGCTCTTAGTCTCACAAGCAGCTCATTCAGAAGTTTTCATCAGAACTGAATTTTACTGAAAATGTAATTTTAAAAATGGTGCCAGAACCTGTAGCAAAGGAAATAAATATTCAATTACATGACTTCACATTTTACTCTTTTTCATGCGTTCTCATAGGCTCTGAAGGCTCAGGTCAAAGGGATGGAAACAAAGCCTTCAAAGGCTCCAAAAATAGAGGCACTCAGGAAAGATGTACAAGTTCTCATGAAGAAAGCCAGTACTGCTCTGGAAAGAAACAAAGAGTAAGTGTTGCAAATGCTGTCAACCCCTCTAGTAGCAACTGGGTAGATGGGACAAAGAAGAAACAAGTAAATAGAGTTCTTGAAGTTTTTAAAATGTCAGGTCTTGGAGGCAAGGCCAAAGGATCAGACCCTGTGGATAGCCTGTTCTAGGCAAAAATCTTTCTCCTTTCTTAATATCTATTTTTGATTTCTGCCCCCCCGCCCCATCTTTTCTACCAATCACACTGGGAGACATGGTTTAGAAATGAGCAGGAAAAAGGCTTTCTTTTGCCATTCCCAATTGACCCCCACCAAAAAGCTTATGTCATCACAGAGAAGTCTCCTGACCACACAGACTGCAGCCTGCACTGTTAAATTTCAGACTGTGTTGCTTTCACTGGGACGTTGGCTTTGTTCCCCATTATGGAGACAACAAAGCCTGTGCTTTCAATTGCTTGTGTCCTGCCCTCTAAGACAGGACTTGGTTTGACTTCCTTATTTTGATTAGCTTATTCTCAGACTTTCTGAGGCTCCTTGTCTTCTTTGGACTGACCCAGTGTTTCCATGCCTCTGTTGCGTGCCCCCGATGTTTTATATCACAGCTTCCAGATCTCCTTACTGTTGCTCCAAGCTCTGATCTGACTTGCTACCCTCAGTGTTTGACCATATGGTTGTTTTACTCTAGAGCTCTAACCTTTAGGCTTGAAAGCTGTCCTAGCAGGAGATCTTACCTACCAACTTTCCTGTTCTTGCCCCCTCCACTGTCTGAACCTGAAGAATTAAGAAGTCACTCTTTCACTAAGCTGCTGGTTCCCCTTCTTACCCATCCCTTTTTCTTGTAAATGTTACTCTAACTAGACTAGATGACTTAAGAGGTCTTTTATGTCTTTGCAATTGTAGTTTCCACTGTATTTTGCATGTACACATTACAATATTTACACTGTGCTTTTGAAATGTAGTTTGGATGATTCTGCAGTTAAGATACTGGAATGTGAAGGAGACTCATGTTCACTAGTTCTGCTAGTGTAAACAAAGATAATTAACAGTGGCCCAGTACTCTACACATCTATACTTGTCTACAGACAGAGAATTCATAATGTGTTACCATGGGATAAAGTCAAACTGGCATGAATTTAAGATGGATTGGGGGCATAGTGTGGAATATTTATAGAACACGCATATGCAAATTTTATCTAGGCTACAGAGATTGATTTTTGTGCAAGCTTTTATAAATATTTTAGAGGTAAAGGGGAAAAATATGACATTTTGTCTTCTGCCAAAGGGCTGAAAGGGAATAATCATAAACATCCTAGAATGATCTAAAGGATCTTCTTGAGAGATTTGACAGCTATAGGTATAAAAAACCAATACCTTATAAGACTGTTCAGTTCTGGATAGCAATCTGTTTCCAGAGAAGTCTAGGAACTTGCGCTATCCCAATGACAACTTTCTAGCTTTGCATGAAAACTAACAATGAAAATCTGAGTTATTTGCATACATTAGTTGCTACTGGGAGCCTAAGACCGAATTTTTCCTCCTGCCATGGACCATGTGTAGTCCCTTCTGTGTATAGGGAAACCATCCTTGAAGGGTGGGCAGAGGAAAAGATTTTCATACAAGACTGATGTATTTTTTAAAAGAACATTGGTTAGTAGATGTTAGAATATCTGGTAGGATTTTTGAGATCTGATAGGGAGAAGGGAAGTAAGACTATTGAAGTATATGCAAAGAACTAAGCTGTCCACTTATGTTATTGTGATATCTATGTGTGTAAGTAATGTGTAATAGCTTCAGTATTTTCATTCAGTGAACAAGAGGTTTCCCCTCTTACAAAAAGAAGTTGCAGTTTTAATGAAGTAGAGGGTGATTGTTTGAATCCTGTTAGCTCCTCACAGAGAGTCAATTCTTCTCTCCTTTGCATCACTGAGCATTCAGACCTGGGGTCCCTTTGCTGTAATTCAGTGAGCTTGAATTTGCTCTATGCCCTGTTAGAGCAACATTTGGCCTCTGGACATGTGTAATAATCATCATTATATGTAACAACTATTTACTCACATCTAACTTTGTATATGATCTTGAAAAGATATTTGTGAAACTGTTGTTCTCTTTTGTTCTATTCTAGACTGAAGAATTAATTAGAAATGGCGCTACAGATGAGGCAGTGCAGGACAGTGCTGAGTCAAGCAGAAAAGAAATATGGCACAAATTATGGTAATAAGGTGTTCTAAAGGGTCGGAAGGAAAACCAACCAAAAATTACCTCAGCTGTTGAGATTTTTCCTGTTAGTATGAATAAAATATGCTAACATCTAATGAAATCAGGCGCATAACACCTTTCTTATACTTCTTTCACTCCTGGCCTTATCTGAAACCAGTAGATGTCAGTGGGAGACTTTCTAATGCTGAAGAAACCTAGGAAACTGCCAAATCGTCTCTGAGTCTGACTGATTCTGTCACTGTCAGAGTCACAGCACTCTGGTGTGTTAAAGATGTCTCAGGGGATGGTACATGAAACCCTTCAGCTGGCAGAAATGTGATAACTGGATTTCATGCTTATCATGAGTAGGTTAAGCCCTGAGTCACGTGCTTTCACGTGCCCTTCCTAAGCTTCTTTTCAGCATTCACTGTATCAGTCCTGGATGCTCTAGTTATCCACACAATAGTCCAGTGCCTCTTGGACGCTTGCTGGGTACTTTGGTTCAGTAACAGTGATGAGGTTTACAGTCTATTTATGTACTGCTCAAGAAGGGAGTGTCTTTGGATAAGGCCTTTGATCAGTGGAATCTGGATCAGAACCTTTGAGTAAGATAAAATACATAAATCTGTAAGGTTGTGGAAGAGCAGAAAGAAAAGCTGACTGATGATGAACTGGGAAATCCTGTGAAATGCTATCAGGGTAGAGTATAGTATAACTAGTCTGATTGTAATACACCTGCATTTTATGCCTTTATTGAAAACCTGTACTCAAAGCACAGTTTTCTTCCAGAGCATGAGAACACACCAGTTAGCAAATTATAATGTGGTAAAAAAGGAAATAGCTGTTTAAGTGGTGATATAAAATGCCTTCTGCATTTCCTCATTGAGGAAAGAGGAAGATCTAAATCTGCTTTCTGCGCAGTGTCTCGGTGTCCTAGTGTCCTGCACCAGGCTGTGGGTAGTTGTTAGCTTCACCATGGGCAGCTATCACTGGCCTCTAACTCACTTTTACAAACACACCTTCAATAGGAACAACATTTGAACAATCAAACCAGCTTCTGCTTTTTTTTTTTCCCCTCGGCAATTAAACTGTCCCAAATTCCTCCCTAGTGTAACTGTCTTCCCGTCTATGAATGTATGCCTGAGTGCAGCTGCCCTGATAATGTTTGTTTCTACAGCACGGTACAGGTTTTGAATTCGAGAGCTTTGCAGCCAACCACTAAAAAACCCATAAAATCAGTCATTGGCTCTGGGTCTCCCGCAGGACTAATGAATAAAACAACCAGAAGTCTCCAGGCCAAGGCATATCTGAGGAATGGTTTTGAATAAAATGAGCTAAAAGACATTTAAACAATGGGTAAATGTTTCTCCCCTTCTCCTCCCTACCAGGTACTAATTTAAAAATGCTTACTCAGTTAACCTCAAACTTTCCCTCCCTCCCTTCCTCAATTACACATTGAGGAATCCAAACCATCCAAGTCAGAAAGATGTAAATGTTGCTGTTCTTCTTTTGTGTTACAGCTGTATTTAGAAGCCCAAGCCAAGAAATTTGGGCCAAATGAGCTAACGTGTGCTGGCACTATAGGGAACAAGGCTCTGCAAATATTATTTGTTGGGGATTTTTTTGGTTTTTTTTGTTTTTTTTGGTGAGGTGGGGTGCTAAGCAATTAAAAAAGTGTTCAATCCAAGTTAACTGGAAATGAGAACTTCACAGTTTTCCCAGAGGAAAAAATGGAGAGCTGATTATTTTTTAAAATTGAATAAAATGTTTTCTTAATCTTTTCTAAAAGAGAAGGCATTATTTCCTTCTCTCCAGGTAGCATTTCTGCAAGGCCCTTCCAGGACCAGTAGCTATCCTGATCCACAGAGTGGGGATATGCTCTTTATCATTTTAAGTGACTCACACGGAAGGACAGGATTTTTGAGAAGCTAGTGGCCGTTAGCCCCTGGGACGGGGAGCGGAAGGAAGCACGGTCAGGCAATTTCCCACATGAGGCAGTGCATAACTCAAGTTGGGCTCACACTCTCTTCCTCCAGCCTGCCTCACTTTTCATCAAAGCTGTTGGCTTTCACTGGACCTATTGACTGCACACTGATACTGCACCGCAGACCAGAGGGAGGCAGAGGGGGTTGGCTGCCCGTGACAAGCTGCTTGGAGAGTAGGAATTTTAGGTGTCCTGGGATCACAACAGGCAGTTTTTAATCGTTGAAACGTTGTCATTACCCAACACAGTGACCTAGTCCTGAATCTGACAGCATGGCACAAAGTCGGTACGTTGCAAATGTGGCTAATGAACTACTGTGGGCTCTGAAATCTCCTCCCAGCTCCAGGGCAGCCCCTGAGTCATCAGGATTTTCTTGACCTGCTCACTGCACCAGTCAGACAAGCCAGGCTGCGCCATTAGGAGCTCTCACACAGCAGAGACAGACCAGTTTGTCCTCCTCCTGTTCACACTCCCTTCGCTGGTGTCTTCCCTCCTTCCTACCTTCCCCTCTCTGCCTGCTCTGCAACCGCAGAGCCTCAGAGGTGTAACCCTGCACCCTGGTATCTTTTCTGGTTGCTCCGCTTTCCATAGCTTCCCTTGCGGACAAATACCAAGAGGTGAACCAAGGTGTGGGAGACAGATAAAACAGCATGACCTTGAGCTGCACTGTCACCAGGGAAGAAAAAGTAGTTTGTTTGTATCAGTCCAGACCCTTGGAGTGAGGGGCACTATTAGTCTGTGCATGTAGCTCCCCTCATTCCCTAGATGAGGAGCTGGCAAGGCCCCATAAAACAGCTCTGGCTGCAGCAGCATGGACACTGACAGGATGCAGATGAGCTCACTGACAAGCTGTGAAAAGCTGAAAAAGTCTTTGACTCAAATAAGACCCTAGCTGGGCAGGAGTGTGAGCTGGCCATGTAGGATCTTGTAGGATCACATTACTGACTTGTTTTAGTGAGGTGAGTGGGTGAGATGGCAGTGAAGTTGGCCTGTAAAATTCTGAAGTGCATTTTCTGGACTCTGCTAAGGGAGTACAGCATGTTTATTCGGCTCCTTGCATGCTGTCATCTGTTCTCTGTGCTGGGATGCAGTGATTTCCTCTTGGTTGTGTCCCTGTTGTATCTAGAGCCTGACCGTATTTTTGCATGAAGTGCTAAAGGGCCTTGGTTGGGGTGACTGTGAAAGGTGAGTGGCATAGCTCGTGTGCCAATATTCAGACTAGTGGAAATGAAGTGGGGGTACAATGGGTGTGTGTACCAGCTGAACTGGGGGCAATGTTGTGGGTAGTCCTGGTGTGTACGGTCTGGCTTGGTTAACTCAAGCTGGTACTTGGGTATGCCTACTGAAAGCACTATGGATGCCAATTAGCTTTCCACTTCCAGCTCTGTCCTTTAAATTGTGCATGTATTTTTATACTTCCAGAAACATGCAGCAGACATGAGACAAAGAGGATAGCACGAAAACCGCTTTCTGTTTCTGAACAGCTTGAATCTATGAGGTGTAAAGTTCTCGATAAAGGGGAGGAAATGAACATACTAGAGACTGAGAAGAAAGAAACAATGGTTTATGCTGGGACAGTGGATATCATGGAAAACACTCTTAAAGAAATAGAGGCAAGAAATCATTAATTCTAAACATGTCCTAGCAAGGTTTCTCGAGAAGTACTGGTGTCCAGATACTACCATGATGGACCCTTTAGCACTGAGATTGACACTCAGCGGTCTTTATTTTCTCCTCTAAGAACATATGTGCCTAGTCTGGGCACTTTGATGACCACCACAGTGTCCAGCCTCTGACCCTGTAATAGGAGGCTTGTACATTGATCATTGCTGTGTCAGATGATGGTCTACAGACATAGGGGTTATTTCTGCATTCATTTTATGAGTTTGGGGATTTGTAATCAAATGTACATTGAACAGCTACAGCTTCATTATTTTTAACCTGTTGAATTTCTTGGCCTGGAGAATGGGATGGTTCTGGGTGGGATTTTCAAGTATCCCAAGTTAGCATCATCTACCCTTGAAATGAATACTGAAATGCCTAGTAACCTCAAAGGGGGAGAGATAGGACAGTCCTGATTCCCTTCGAAATCCCATTTCTAGATGCTTAAATAACTGAATATTACTGCAGATTATTCACTGGGGTATATAAATGACCATAGCTGTGAACACATTTGAGACACAGACAGGAAGGCCAGGTTTAATTCTAGATTGAAAATGAGGTTGATGATGGATTGTTGATATCAAGTAATTGATTTTTTATAAAATTACAAATATTAACATGAATACTTCTTTACAGAATAATATTATTACCTTTGGGTTTTTTGTAATTAGCTAGGCTCCATCTTTATTGGTTGAGCTCTCATTGCCATGGTGTTGTACAAAGCAAACAGTGAGAGACAGGCTTGTATTGAATATTGTGCAATCCAAGGTACAGAACCTGCAGAGATTTGTTTATGTGCTAAAATTTGCATACTGAGAGTGGCCTGTGTGAGGACCACTTAAACTATAAAAGTTAGATGCTTGCAAATTTCTGCAGGATTAGTGCATTCAGCATTTAAAAACAGTATTCCTTTTCTGCTGGCAGTTGTGCAGTTAGAAATAGCACATGATCTCAATAAAAGCACTTTTAACCTGTCCTTGTCACTGGTTATGCCGATAAGTGTTCCAGCTGTGTGAAGTGAGGAGGTAGTTTCATGCAGCTAAATAGATGCTAAAAGTACAGTCAGCATGAATAGGGAATAATGTGTCCCTCTTAATGGTGGGCAAACAGCAGTTCTTTACGTAGAGCTTATGTTTAGCTAAGCATCTAAAAGGTCAAACATTTCTCCAAACTTTCTGTCCCCTGAAGCAGAGTTATACCTGTTGACAGGACATCAAATTAATTAATTAATAGTACTGAGAATAAAACAGAGCTGCCAGAAAGTCACAGGAAAGCTGAAAAAAACTGTGAAAAACACATAACACAAAAATTGCCCAAAGTCTGTATTTCTCTCTTCACCAGTTCAGGTATAGGTACAGCCATTGTGTTCTTGTACTATGCTTGACTGCCTTTAAATTGAATGATATATTTAAAATCATTGTTTTTCCTGCCAAATTTTTCAACCAACCCTTTGCACTGCTACCTAAGAGTACAAGACAGAAGTCTGTCACTTGTTTCTAAAGCAATTAGCAGGCCTCCAGCATCAGAAAGCTTTGGGGGAGGAGGTGAACTCATGGTTAAATTAACAAATTTACCTGTTAACAAGATATTAAACCAATGAATAGCAGCAATGAATGGGTCATGACAACTTCCTTTTTTTTTGCTGGCAAACAGGAGATCTTAGGCTCCATGTGCCTTCTGAAATGTTCCTGCGTACGCTCTGTAAGATATGCTCCCACAGCATGATAACAAATGAGTATATGAAATCTGGTCCTCTGAAAAAATAGCCACTCTGAGAAGTTCCTCTCTTTGCTTTTTTAAAACAAATATGAATATTCAGAAGGTCTTTAAATATAAATTGCTGGTTTCTAGAGTGTTTTTTGGGGGGGGCTGGGCTGTGTCTGTACTGTAATGAAAAAGGACAGTCAGCAGATGGCAATGTTGTATAGGTGTTCTAGCAGGAGACCGCCACATCAGCAAGGGACGGAAACCTCTGATATTCCCTAAGTAGCCATGAGGGAAAATGGAGTGGCCCCTCCGGGCCATTGGAGAGTTGGCCCTCCAAGCACACTTTGGCTGAATGAATGCTTGTGTAGGCTTACTGAGTTTTTATTACTATTTGTAACAGCAATTCAACATTTAAAACCCCTCATTTGAAAAGGCAAGCCCATTATCATTTAAGAAGAGCAATCTAATTAAACTAGTGCATTTCCATATTCTTTTAAAAACGATTTCATAATGCTACATAAGTACAACGTGTTCTTTCCCACACAGATTACATTTTTAAAAAGATAAGTGGGTCTGATGCATTTGCTTTTGCTGGAATGTTGTGTGACAATTTAACTGATCTGTTACTGCCTTTTCAGGCTGAAACTATGAAAATCGACTCATCAAACACGTTTCTCCAAGGCCAAATAAAAGTTATTTCCTTTGAACCCACTGTGGTTCAGGCATAATGCAAACTAGTTTATACATGAGTTTTCTTCACTAGGTCTAATCCCAAATCACTGGAAAGCTTCTCTTTGGCTTCAGCAAGTTCCAGATTAGGCCTGCTGTGCTTTGCCAGCTAGAAAGTTGAAAGGTACTGGATATATTTCCACCTCCTTTTTTTTTTTTAAACTACCGTGGAGCACTATTAGGGTACTTTGATCTAAATATGTAAATCAAAGCTGCAAAAGCTCCCTGCTTCCAAGTGTACTGAAGGCACTGGAATGAGGTAAAAGAGCCTGTAGTAGGTAACTCCAACACATAAAATCCATGGAATAGCTCAGCAAGAAGAACTTGGAAACACTTCTGTAAAATATAGAGACTAACAGATGTCTTGAGAGAAGAAAAGTGAGTAATAGTTTGAATAAAACAATCTTTGGTTCAGATGATATTCTGCTGCACACTCTGAAGTCTGAAGCTCTGTGTTAGCAGCTGAAAGAGCAGGCATCATTTCAGATGTTAGTGAAATGTGAAGTACAAAGCTCTTCGCATGCGAGCAGTCTAGCAGCTCAATCCAAAAGCCAGAAATGGACATGTATGCTGAAAGACAAAATCAAGTCATTTGTATCAAAGTAATTGGTTTAGCAAAAGCAATGCTATGAACACCCTTCTTGTTTACACGGTAAGACCTGGTTTTACTGTCTGTTGGGTTTCCCTCAGGGTACAAGAACTGGCAGGAAGTGAGGCTCTATGTCAGACTCAAAGACATGTGTAACCTGAGATGTAGTGTTAAATTAAAACTCCTGTCACACGGGAACTACTTACTATAATTTATGTCAAGGTTAATGGAGTAAAAAGTATTGGAGTATTTTAAATGCTGATCAGACATGTACAATTGCAGATTTTTTCTTATGTACTGAAGTATATTTCAGTGTTTCTCAACATTTATGTCTTTTTTACAGGAAGTTGAAGGAAATATCACAGAAATTTTAGATAAATTGAGAATCACTCAGGAAAATCAAAGGTGAGTCTGAAATGTTCAAATATCTATGTCAGTGGGGTTACACAGAAAGTATTAGAGTGATGGAGATGCTGGTCGCAACAACTTGCTAGGTCAAAGTAAGACAGATTAATTATTAATAGCAGCAGTGTTCAAGTGCTGGTTGTAGACCACACACAGTAGCAGCTGGGAGTCATAATCAGATACTATAGATTTGACTTCAATATGGCCCAGTGTTAAATAAGAAAAATTAACAATGGGAATTATGCATAGTGTTATTAACAACTCTGATTGCTTCAGTTGTTTATTTAGGAACAGAATGGACACATTATGGTACTTGTTGAAGCCTTGTAAGTTTTCTGACAGTGTCTTGCTGATGTTTTTTTCACACCTGACATGGAGGAATTCAATCCCTTGTCTGTTCTGATATCGCTCACTAGTGCCGGTTTTGGTAACTTCTTTGTGAAGTAGAATTTTTTTATGTCAGGAACTGGCTTGAGATTCCTAGACTTGTTTCACATAAACAATTTTTTTTTTTTTTTTTTGAAAGGGGTGGATTATGGGGTCATCTCAAGCATTTGAGATATGTTTTAGGAAGTTAAAGCATGCAGCTTTGGTTATTGATGCTGCCTGTCAGAAGTAAATACTGAATATATTTGTTGCTGTGGTGCTTTCAGTATTTAGGTTTAGCGCAAGACTGTTTTTTCTTGCTATGTTTTTAATGTTCCAAAGCCTTGGATGAGGAGCCATCCAAGCTGAAACAGCATGGAAGAGAGGCTGTCTCTACTTATTGATCCACTGTTGATGCCATGAAATGCATATACTCAGAGAGGCATAGGTTTCAACATATGTGGCAGAGCTTCAGGTTGGTTGCGAGTTTATAGTGCTGCTCACAGCTTTGCTTTTCATACCTGCAATACAGTTTTACAAAAACTAAGCAAATGTGAGCCATAACTAAGGCTCCATATGAGTTGAAAAAATATATAAAATAGCTGAAAAGTCTAGTTTATTGACAGAACAGAAGGTAGCTTTTCACTCACGTGCCTTGCTATTGTCCTCAGGCATTTTTGCACCTACAATTTATCGGTATAAGGAATCACTGCATCTAGGCAAATCAGGTAGTGGCAGGCTGCAATCAGTTTAATTCCTGTTTGCTGCATGCCTAATTTGTTAGTTTATATCTGCACGTGTAATGCAAATGATTTAATCTATCAGCTGGAGGTGGACATCGCAGGTTAGTAAAAGGCTTGAGCAACACACAGAAAGGCTCACTGACCTCAGTGTGTTTTGGGTCCGCCTTTTAGGTTTTCAGACATTAGGCAGACATTATGGAGTTGTCTCCTGTTGTTGTAACACAACACTCTCTAAGAGAACGGTTTCTCAAATTTAGATGGCAGGTGGTGTTTTGTGCCATAGGGCCCAGAACAGTCGCTGCAGGTTCCCGTTGTGTCTGTCTGGGAGCTATACACTTTCAGGCACAGTTATGAGATTGTTGGTAAAAATCCAAAATTATACTTACAGACTCCAAAGAACAAGATCCATTAATATAGAAAAGAATGATTTTATTTTCATCTTATTGCCAACATTTGGTGTTAAAGGGGGTATGTTTTATTTGCTGACACAGGCATAAATTTTTACTTTTAAATTGTATTAGGAAAATAAGAAAATATTTTTTTTCAAAGAAGACTTGAGTCTTAGCAAAAAAGAACCTTGAACTCAGATCTTATGAGATATAAAGATTTTCAGTTAACTTTTAGCTTAAAATAGAAAAATGATGAATTCTAGGAGTCTATGGAATCTCAAGGTTAAGCTTCAGTTAATTTACTGTTCATGGCTCTTTGATTAAGTTGAGAATTGCCAATGTTAGATTTCACAAGGTGGTATGTACAGTTACGTTAGACTTTTGTTGTTAGAGGGTGGCAGTGCGAATAGCTCTCAATTCAGGAGCTACTACCTAATGATCTAAGACCACTAATATATGATAATTTCGTGAACATGGAAAGTAATCTGCTTTATGGTATGAAGTTACTGTATATCATGTTGTTAAAATTTCCTGGATGGATGCATTCATTAAGCTTAATGAGGGGGAGGGGAGGAATTGGAAGAGAACAACAGTAAAGCAAAGCATGAAAGCTAAATAAACAGTCTCCCCACAAACAGCATGGAGAGCACTTACTAGACAATGGCGTATATCTGGCCTCCTGCTTAAATTTGCAAGACTTGCTTTGCCGGAGCCGAGTGCTAACAGATCTAGAAATTTATGGGCAATTACGAAATCATATGCAAAATTACGTGAAAGTGTGTTGGTTACTGATAGTTACGTTCCCTTCAGGAACTGAACATAAGTCAGGGTAGCTGAGGTGGTAAGGATGACATAAAGGACCTGTAGGAATAGGAGAGTCCTTTGATCCTTCCCTTCAAAAAGATATTTATAGCTCATGGTCTAAGAACATGCACAACAGGAAAGGTGCAAACAGGATGATAAAACATGATCACACTTGCATCTGCTTAGAAATTACAGAACTGTGCATGAACCTACTGTCTGGTATTTCTTTGATTTTGAAATGAGAGTTGCATGACCTGAGGTCAGGTATGGAACTTAATAGATAAAAGTCAATGTCATTTGACAGACCAAACTTGGAAGAAAACGAAGTACAGTTCTGTCTGAGAGGATAATAGGATGTATTTTGTGAAAAGTTAAAATTTGGGAACATTATTAACGTGGAATAATTGGTCAGCCAAAAAGCTATTAGAAATAAACCATCAAGGTAATTAGTAGTAGATATAGTTGAATACAAGGTTAATTAGTCTCATTCGTATGATGTTAATTATTAAAAGTAATCAGCCCTGGGATACTTACAGAAGTGCTCTCACTAAATGTTTTAAAAAATGTAACAGAAAGACTCTTACATTTTGCTTCCAACAGAGGTTATGTATAAACCTTTTAAAGATGCACACTGTCTTGGGATATTTGCATAACAAGATGCTTTATAAAGTGAATGTCCAAAATTCTGCCCCTGCCCCTCCCCCCCAATGTTATGAATCACATTTCTAGAGCTGAGATTATTCTCTTTCTCCAGGACAGATCAGGGAGACTGAAACATTAACAGTAGCGTGAGATTTCTGAATCAAAGCCTATCTTGAGGCATAATTAAAGGAGGGCGTCTAATTGTCTGAAGTCAAAACTGTATCATCCTTTGCCCTTAATGCACATAAGATAACTTAGATGACATTTAATTAGAGGCAAAGCATGGATTAATACTTATTTAATATCTACAATAGAAACTTCCCTCAGGTGCTAAGAGATTGTCCAGTGAATTGGGGCAAATATTTAGCCTGTGTCTGCAGCTAAATAAAAAAATTGCAGCAAACAATTTACTTAGCCAAGTTTCTACTGTTTCTGCAGCAAAAATGTGATTTCTTCAGGCTTAGCAGCTATCTGATGGAAAACTTCTTAATTTTAATGCTGATTTGAGAAATTAAAAATATTCAAAATACAAAAGTTTGAACACTATTTTAAAGCTGTAAATAGATGGATTAAGTTATATGGTTTTATTTGTGTACCTGGTTAGATGATTGAACCTACAGCTCTAGTGGAAGTAGTGAAATTCTTTTTGGACTTAGCTTTCCGTTCTCATTTGTATTGGTCAACTGTCTCTCTCAGGACTGTGTAGAAGGTGGCTAGAAAACAGCTACAAAATGTGATGAAATACATTCTTTTGAATGTGAGTAAATATTTATGAGGAAAAAAAAACAAACCCTGTATTTATTGTCAGGTCTTAACAGCTCTATTTGATCCCTACCTAAGTCACTGCAGGAAAGGAAGGCAACAGGAAAGCAAGATATGCTGTGGAAGCAATGATGTCCACACTCAGCATTATGAAACCTTATGGACCAGTGCCATGGATATAAACCATCTGTACTTTCAGTGCATAATACCAGATCTAGAAAAGGTGTCTCTCTTGGTCTCTGTTCCTTAGAAAGATGTAGAGAGGAACAGCATATCTTTATGTTCTAGAGCTGCTGCATCCAGTTGAGAAGAACAGGCAGGTGGATGGTAGCTTTCTGCCTAGATCCATTCCAACAAATTTCAGTCATCTAGCAAGATGCTAGGGAAGATGAATCATCCTCTGGAGATGAATCTTTCCAAACTATAAGCAACCTCAGATGCCTGAAGTTAGATGAGTTGGTCTTAGTTCCTTTTGTATGGCTCATAATGGGAAGACTCCCCAGTGCTGCCTGTGTTTGCATTGGGGTGTTGGCTGTCACTGACTTAGGTCTCAGTTTCTGCTCAGTGATTGTGTTGGTTGTATGCTATATGTTTTTTAGGAAGGTGTGGAAGCTAATAGAGGGAGTCTTGCTACCTGAAAATGAAGAATGAGTTTCTGAGAATCCAGAAGAAAATAAGGGTGATGAAGTAAAGGAAGATAAATACTCACCACTTCAAATGTACTCTTAACATCTTGAAGTTGTGCAAGTGGAATCCAGGCTTGAAAAACTACTGTTGGACCTTAGAATCAAGTATTATAATGCAATTTCAAAATCAGAAATGTGATTTCATTTTTGCATACATTATTGTGGGTAGCTCTACTGTCTGCATAAAGAGATATTTTCATATAACATTTTTAGAAAATGTCTAGTGCTAGTAATATTTATATTAAATAGCTGTGTTCTTCTATACAGTTTTCAGTAGACACTGCTTGGCTTCTTTCCTTATGGAAAAGTCATGGCTTCTTTCCTTATGGGAGCACCAGCAGGTATTAACTAAACTCTCAGGACAGAACTCACAAGTGGAAGTTATTTAAATAAATCGAAGCTGCATCTTCTAAATAAGATACGTATACTGGTCTTGAATCAGGCCTTGAATTATGGTAGTACATACTGGCATATGAACACTGCTTATGTGAGTCTTTTCACGATCCCCAAATTTTGGCTTTCATTTTATGAAATCTGACTGGCTGCAGAATTTTTTTGAAAACATGAGTCGGGTTCAGATCAAGTGGAAGCATCTGCCTGATTTTGCAGAAAGCCTGAAAAAACAGATCAAAGAAAAGAACTAGTCCTTTCAACTGGAAAGGGTGTTGTTGTGAATACCCGTAATTAAACTTTTGCTATGAGGATTGTTTCTGTTTATCTTTATGAAAGAATGTGAAGAAAAAGTAGGAAGGAGACAGATTATACCAACTGCATAGATGTAGCCATGCTAAAGGAACATCTTATTTTGGCCCATGCAGGATCACCTGGTGACAATGTAATCTTTTTTTTCAACTTAATAAGTAATCAAATGGAAAGGGGATGTGGGAACATTCACATTTCACAGCAAGCAAGACAAACCTAGAGATGTCAATGTGTCAAATGGATGTATTTGTATCCATTGAAGGGCCACTCAATCCAAGAGACTCATAGACTGTACATCCCAGTTTAACCAAGTGTCCTGGTTTTGGCTGGGATAGAGTTAATTTTCTTCCTACTAGCTGGTACAGTGCTGTGTTTTGGATTTAGCCGCCCCGGTGAGAGCTGCTGGCTCCGGTGGGTCTCTGCGCTCCCCTGTGGGTTCCCTGGCTCAGGACACCCCCCCGTACACTGTGATCCGCTGCCCCGCTGCAGGACGTGCCTGCACCGGAGCTGATCGCCTCTGCGAGTGACAGTTGGTGGCGGTTACACTGTGTTTAAATCTGCCACCATTACTCCTGGCCCCGCCCACGCATCGTCAGCTGCCCTTGTGAGAGCTGCCGGGGGTCTCTGCACTCCCCTGTGGGGATGCAACATACAGATGGGCTCGTGATCGAGGGGTGGACTTGACCACGGACACTACTGCACAGGTTATCCATGAATGTGAAACGTGTGCTGCAATCAAACAGGCCAAGCGGTTAAAGCCTCTGTGGTATGGAGGACGATGGTTGAAAATGGATGGCTGGACATATCCCGTGCTCCGTGCCACTGCCCGGAACACTATCCTGGGCCTTAAAAAGCAAGTCTTATGGCGACATGGCACCCCCCAAAGAATTGAGTCAGACAATGGGACTCATTTCCAAAACAACCTCCTAGACACCTGGGCCAAGGAGCATGACATTGAGTGGGTGTATCACATCCCCTATCATGCACCAGCCTCCAGGAAAATTGAATGATACAACGGACTGTTAAAGACCACACTGAGAGCAATGGGTGA